AATTCGCATTGGTTTTTTGCTTCTAGATGACCATGAGACATTTCAGCAGACCACGATTTCATGATACTTGAGCACTTGCGGTGCTTGGATGCGATACTGCGTCGAAAACAGCCAGTAAGACAGCCGCCCTAGAAAATCGGGATTATTCGCTCTGTATATAAATGCTAATTGTTCCGATTTTTTTATTTGCTGCACGACGACGGCTGCCGATGAAAACAGTTATCAGTGGAGCCGTTATCCGCTGTTAAAGGAGGTGGCAGATAGCGCGATGCCGTTATAGCATATTACACAAGGTTTCACGGAAATGATACATGAGAACCTACTGTTTGAATTTGGAACATTTCCTGACTGAGAAGGAAAGAACAGGAACCAGCTCATGAGGTCGCAAGGCACCTACTGGATGAAGTTCGACTCTCGTGAACGAAGGCCTGTGGAATTCTGAACCTCTTTGTGCGGCAGCTATTCTACTCACGTGTTATCTACAGAACACGTGATTAGGTCAGTGTTGAAGTTCTGTGTTCTAGTGGAATCTAACTTGGCTGACAGAATCATTGCACGGATGTTTGTCAGCGGAGGATTGGCAATAAGTCGACTAAACACACAAAAGGCTAAACCTTTTACCTTATTACAGCTTTATCAGGCCAGTTCGGAAAGAAAATCTGAGTCATTCCTGGAAGAAATGGAAGGTGCTCTGTAGAAGTGCAGACTAAGGAATCCTTCATTCTAATGAGTGATTTCATATCAGAGTGCGCATGTCAAAGCATATCATCCAATTCCTCTAAGATGAAAATGAAAGGCCGTTTCAGAGCCCTAAAGAACATATCTGGACACCCACCTACCAAGGATATGCCTTCAGTGATGGCGACAGTACTTTGAGGAATTCATTAACCCCCATCAATAACAGGAAGACTTACCTGAAGAACAGCAGGCAACAGATAGACCTTCATTAGATGAAGTTACAGAAGCTGTGAATAGCTTAGAACTTGGAAAGGTTGCTGAAGTCAGTGAGTTCCGGCCTTTGAGACACAGATTTAGGCGCCAAAGGCATGTTGAGACTAACACGTGTCTGTCAAACTGCAGTGGCTGCGGTGAAGATATCGGTGAATCGGAAAAGTGAGATGATAGTGCCCATGTTCAAGAAGGGTGACCGTAGGTGCTACTGAAATTATCAGGGCATTACCATGTTGAGCCTTCTAGCTAAAGTCTGCGCATAGGTGTTAGCAAGGAAGTACCGCACAATAACAGATTCTTACAAGAAGTGCAGCGTAAGCTTCAGGTCGGGCCGAATTTCTGACCAAATTTTCGCCTTAAGCCAGATTGTTAAGAAATCGTGGGAGAGTCGTAACCTCATCTGGTTTACATGTGTTTTGTTGACTTCTAGAAAGCCTGAGAGGATTCAACGCAACAAATTATTGGCGTGCCTACAGGCCTGTATGGTTGATGACCAGTTACTACGAGTCATCGAGTCACAATATGTTGATATCAAGTGCTGTTCAGAGTAAATGGCGTTAAGTCCAAACCTTTCAACTTTGGTACAGACCACATTCAAGTTTGCACTCTATCTATTCCTCCGTTTGTATCGTAAATAGATGGGATTGTCGACGCAGCCTGGGCAATGAGTGTATCAGCGTAGGAGATGTAAAAAGGAGAAAATTACAGTTTGCAAAGGACTTTGTTTTGTTAGCGCCTTCGGAAACTGATCTCAGCGCTCTC